TCTCTCTCTCTCTCTCTCTCTCTCTCTCTCTCTCTCTCTCGCTCGCTCGCTCGCTCGCTCGCTCTCTCTCTCTCTCTCTCTATCTATCTATCTATCTATCTATCTATCTCTATCTCTATCTCTCGATCGACTTATCGATCGATGAATCTAACGAAAGTGTGATTAATAATGAGGAATGTCAGAAATATACGTGTACTATGTCAAAAAACACTGGTAATGCGGTCGATGAATATAATGAAGAGATGTCATTGGCAAATGAGTTTTTTCAAAACTCGCTCGTTTAAAGTAACTCCTAGTTAATGCGGATTATGAATATGATGGAAGTGCATGAAAGAAAATAATGGAGTGTATTGGTTTCAACTACGTAAATTACTAGTTCTATAAAGCACCCCGCTCTTTTAAGGTAACCCTTACTACGCATTATTACAACAAATTGAATGTAATGAACATAACTAGAAATGAACGTATTGAAACATGAGCTCACATAAAGACATGGCGCGTTGTCATGTGCAATGCAAACGACAATGGAGGATAACCGGAGGTGCAAAAAAGGATGGACCGTCCACTTGGCAACAACGAATTTGACGGAGAGAGAGATGAAGCCCTCACGCGATTGCGAGTAAAACTTGGGGATAGCGACGTCATAACAAGTTCATTCAACGAAGACACAAAAGAAGAATTAACGATGACAGTCAACGACTTTAGCTTGCTAATCATAGAAAAAAAGTGGTTGAACGAGCAGATAGTTAATTTTTATCTTAACCTTATCCGACTGGACAATGAGTGTCGTGTGAAGCACCATAATTGCGATTCGAAGAACAAAAATGTTGTTAGAACAGGAAAGGGGTGCATTCCTACAATAGCAGTTCTAAACTCATTTTTTTTCGCAAAACTATTTGATAGCGATATGAAGTTCAAGTACGAAAAGGTTCGCAGCTGGTTCATAGAGGTCGTGATTAGCGACATGGATTTGATCATTGCACCTTTTCACGTCGCGCACAACCAAAATTGGACACTTGTAGTGGCAGATTTTAGGCGTATGAAAATTGAGTACTACGATTCGCTGACGCCGGATGTTGAACTCCGGCGAAGATGACAGGGGGGTTCGCAAGATTTTTGTACATGAGGTCGGTCGAACAAGGTCAAGAAATTGACACGAAAAACTTCAACCATATATGGGAAGTGGAAGGCATTTCAAAGCAGCGCGACTTCAACGAGTGCGGTGTGTTTATGCTAACATATATGCATCACTATTGGCGAGAGGGTTTCTTCCACCTTTCACGTTCACATAAGAAGACACAAAGAAAATACGATGCCGGATAGCTTTCGACGTAGCTGTTGTGGAGTAGACGAATTTGTTCCATTTACAGTATAGACGTTCAAACACATGAAATGACCATGTAGTGATCAAAATAGATCTGATAAAAGAGAAGAAGAGTTTGTAAGTGTAACGAGGATTAATTATGCGGTTCACGATGAATGTAATTGATCATGCAATAAGGACATCTTATTAAAGGTCATCTTATCTCTTATCTTTGAGGCTCCTCTCCTCTTACCCCTTACCCCTTACCCCTTACCCCCTACCCCTTACCCCCCCCTTACCCCTTATCCCCCTACGCCTTACACCCTTACCCCTTACCCCTTACCCCTTACCCTTACCCTTACCCCTTACCCCTTACCCCTGACCCCTTGCCCCCCTATTCGTATCACAAATAAATCACAAATGAAGATAAATATGGCAAAATATGTGAGTTACAATTTCGTTCAAAAAATAAAAAATGTCCGTTTTGACGAAATCGTAGCTACCCGACTAGCGACGGAACAACTCGGCTCCTCAATGTGAGTGCTACACGATCGTTTGGGGAATTCATTACTTTCATCCATATTTGTATAGGCAGAAGTTCCTCCTCGTCACGGATCATGAGCCCCTATTGGCTCTCAAGAGGCTCACGAACTATATGGGCATGATTGAACGATGGGTTGTCCGACTACAGGAATATGACTTCGACATCGTCCATTGAAAGATAGAGAAGCAGGGGAATGCCGGCGGACTGACACGACTGCATCGGCCAAGCAAGGTGGCCAAAGGGGAAGAGATCATCCCATGGAAGGAGTTGGAGCCGACCAATGGACCGTCGTACGGAGAGGTGGCCATTCTGCCCCGAACCTCCAGAGGGTGACACGTAGACACGATGGCGACGGGTGAAAAAGGTAACTTGAATTCCGGGGGCCCCCTTTCTCCCCTCTCATCTTCTTCTTTTCTCGCCTTGCCTGACAAATTTTGTTATTTTTGCAAAGCAATATCGCGAGTTTATTCGGTTCCTATACGTCATAATGGGGAAGGGTATGTCGAGTGGGTAGATTGTGAACGATGTGTCTCTAGGGCCCATGTCTCTTGTGTCCAATACCGGAACGCGAACAAAGTTTGGTTATGTCCTTTGTGCCGTACTGACAAGATCCCGACGGAGGCTCGATTCCTCGAAGCCACATCCGAGGGGCTAGAAAAGACAAGCTGGTTCCGGCGTGCCGAGGTATAGACAAATTTCGTCCTAATAGCTACAGTGGTCAGAAACTCTGTCTGAGAATTCACCAAAGAGGATCGGAGGCGGGGCAACGAGAGAGCACGGAATTACCGATGGAACAACGAACGGTTAGAGAAACGAAAGACAATCGTGGGATTTGGATGTCGGTACCTCATCCGTCAATCCGGCGGATAAAGCGCAAATTCAGCCTCCCCGGTCCATTGTCCCAACAGTAGTCGAATGACCATTCCAAAGAGTCAGTATGGACACGACATATATTATCGTTCCTCCTGGCCCGAACAACTGCGAATATTCAATCCTCCTTGTTTTGTAGACCATTTCTCGAAATGGATAGAGGCGTATCCCTGTTAGACAGACAGCAAAAATAGTGCGATATGTCAACCGTTTCCTTGAAATGCATCAAGATACCGAGGAGATCCTAACGGACAATGGGGCCGAATTCCGAGGGGAAGTCCTGAGGAGTCTGGTTACGCATGGTGCCTCTATTCGGAACACCGCCCCACATATGTCCCAATCAAATGGCCTCGTAGAAAACGCCAACCGAGTAATCAAGACCGCCCTCCGACGGAATATCGCCGCTAGAGATATGCGGCCTTGGCCTGATTGGCCCTGATATAGTGGACCACATCCTAACCATTCATCGAGGGACACCCCACGAGTCCACCGTCCTGACCCCTTTCCATTTACGGACCAATAGCTTGGCTTGAGTAGCTCTGCCAAGCTTGAACGACAAGACGACCCTTGGGCGACGAGCCACGGGGGCAACGGTTAAGGACAAGGCCCAACGCCACTTGAAACTGATGGAAAAGGCCCTCCCTCGGTTAGCCCGAAAAAAACATCGGATGACCGAAATGGCCCACGGACGCAAGGTCCGGAGCTATGAGGTCCGGAACAGGAACAATGGACCTGGGGCCTAGTATAAATTAAGGGACGTAATGCAGGTAAGGAAATGTGCTCGCCAGGGCAAGTTAGCGCCACAATTCTTTGGGCGATTCCACGTAGTCGAGCTCGGTTCTAGCGGAGTGAACACGGTTCGGTTTGCACCGGAGGTCTCAGGAAGCCGATCGGCTCGACCGATCATTCGACACGTGTCCTATCTTCGTCCCTTACCCCCTTCTCCATCTCTCTCAGCTTCTACGTCGTCCCCCACTTCGAAGGAGGAAGACGACGATTTCGAGTACACTGCTTCTCCTTCTTCTCCACCTTCTCCCCCATCGCTATGATCTTTTCCAAAGAGTAGGTCATTAGTGAGTGGATAATGAGACCTGGGGGCCATATCTCGTTTATTGGATTCCGGCAGGTGCAAGGACCACAACTGAGTCCCGATCTGCTTCGATTCGCGACTTTCTTCAGCATGGCAGCCTTCCACGCGGCAGCGGAGTTTCGGTTCATACGGGTCAGCGATAGAGCGCAGGTGTTGGCCGAGACGTCAACTTTTCTACGGCTGTCTCCACGAGGCGTCGGCCACGTGTCAGTAATCGTCGCCTTTACCGACGATCTTACGACGTTGCATGAAGCATCTCACGCAGGTGTCCTCCGACAGTGGCGACTCTAGGCGCGGGATCTCACGGCCGCGTGGGTCCAACTATTAGCTCAGCTGGGCGATCGGATCGCCCCCACTAACGACGTCGATCTCAGCCAGCTCCAAT